ACTTCAGGATGTATTAAGCTTCGCACGACCGTTTCATTCTGAATTTCGTTACTTTGATCATCTGCTCTCATAGTGTGTTTCTTCGACTACGCAGCTGACAATATTCAGCTGTGTCCCTTTCATCGGTTAGCCTACAGTGCCAAACAAACTTTACTGGTTTACATTTTTCAAAAAATTTCCAAAACACTTAGTAGTTTTTCCAGTCGCTTTGACCAGTGTTGCATTTCCTGATAGTCAACCTCCGGACGATTTGGATGCTTGTTTTGTCCTCTTAAGAGATTACCAATTTAATGGGATTTCCAATCATTCTAAATATATGGATAATTTAGTCTGCTTGACAGAGATAAGATGTACGACCTCGGCGCAAATGCATTTACTGTAACCCGATTTTTCTTTAGAAATTATTTGTTTTTAATTTACAGAAGGCAAAAGGACGGGTTTCCAGCGATCAGAAGAAGTTGGTGTACCGGAAGGCTTATCAGTTCCAAGTGATTATCTACAGGCTTCTTTCATAAAACAAACCTCGAAGGAGTCAACAGATTCGGGTCATAGCGACAAGTGAATTTTTCCATCCCTATTGAAATTAGCCTGCTCCCATCGAATTAAACTAAAACATGGAATGCATTGTCTCCGCTCTCTGTGACAGATGCAGGCGTTTGGGAAGTTGCTTAAGTAATGCATCCTCCTTTTGAGGATTACTTAAAAGCGAACTGATGGCAGATTTGGCTTTCTGGCACATACTTGTGCCAATTTACCACTGTAATGAATGAGCGAATCGCGGAAGATTCGTTTTCTCAATAGTGCAGTTAAACTCGATGCATCGCCTCTTGCACTGTACCATGTGGCTAAGCAAAAATGAAGCTGATTTTACTGTTAGTTAGTTAGAATTATCTTACATCATTTTTTCAGTTGGGGTCCGATACTGACGGATGGTCCGCTTGGCAACTTCGTTGACAACTTAGGACCAGGCCAGGTAAGCAAACCTAATTTCTTACTACGCTGAAATCCTGTGTTTTCACAAAAATCCTTACGTTTAAGATGTCCCACCCCTCATACCTTATCTGAAATTCGAAGCAGTGATGTGTTCTGAGCTCGAAAAATATAACACTCTCTGAAATTTGCCTCCTTTTGACGAAAGATGGTTTTTTTCAGATTACATAATTCCAAAGTTACTTGTATTTGGCTCTTCAGGTCGTTGCCTTTTAATAAATTTGAAAAACTCTTTTGATTTTGTTGTAAGTCTGTTTTGGCGTTGGATACAGATCTTCGTAAATATGCATTGCTGTTTCTTACAGTTTAGCTCTGGCAATTTGACTGCTGTCTTCAGTTTCTGATTGAATTCAAAAAGAGTGAATTTTCTGTTTTAATTTATGTCTGTGAATACGTTTTGGCAAATTAACCAGGTTTTTTATAGGTAGTTGGCCGGCAGGTATTGGCAAGTCCGGTACTTGGCGAAATACAAATCGGTATTGCGGCAGGCCGAGCTGGCATTGACCTTGAAATCATCCGAGCTAAGAATCTTGTGGTCAAATCAGGTGTTAAAGTTAATCCAGGTGATTCTGCAGCACCTTTTATACCTGCATTTGCCATGTTCTCGCAGGGTTTACCTGGAGGAGCCCTGCTGTGAACCTAACTAAAAATGTAAAGAAGTTTGTTCTCTTCCACTTCCCTTCTTCTCCCCTGTTATTGAGAAGTTTAGCGAAAAAAGTAGATCCTACAAGAGTAGTTTCAAACTTTTTCATCCTAGCTCCATCATACCTCATAATTCATCTTAAATTTCGATCGTGTTACAATAAATCCGACAACCTACCTAACTATTTATGTTCCTGAATTTTCAGCTCCGTATGTGAAAGTGTACTTGCTAGAGGGGAAGCAGTGTGTTGCGAAAGCAAAAACACATGCGGTAAGGAGGACAACAGCACCACTATTCCAGCAACATATTGTCTTCTCCGAATCACCACGCAAAAAAATGCTCCAGGTCATTTTTGCTGCTCGCTGTTGTCATTTTGTAGCGATTTAAGATTTTTATTTCTACTACAAATACTTGTAAACCAATATATTGGTTAGCTTAAATTCATATTTACAGCGTAGGCCACCATCTGTTAAGCTGACAATTTTTCCAATTGCTTTGGCCAGTGCTACACCCTCCAGCGGCCAGTTTACTCGTGACGTTGAACGGTTCTTGAAGATTTTTTCAAATCAAGTCGTGAAATGATAAAGTGTGAACGGCGATGAGAACAGGGTATGCTGCTTACCTTGTCGACAGCCGATGGACTTCATGCATTAGTGAATGACAGCGTGAAGGACGGGGGCGACTGTTGCGGAGACAATCTCTACCAGATTTAAATCTTTCTGTACCAGACTTAAATGTTTATTAATCAAAGTTCAGATTACGGTGATGGGCGATTACGGTCGAATGGAGCGTAAATCGTTCATGGGAATTGCGCAGATACGACTGGATGACCTGGAATTGGGCCCGGAACCAATGATTGGATGGTACAAATTATATCACAGTTCTAGCTTAGCGTGTACTGGGCCAATCCGAAAGGACAGTGACACAAGTCTGGTCGAAATGAGACAGTGATGACTCACTCATCATCTGCAATCGGATAATTCTTTTTCTATTCCCATACAAGAAGACGAAACGACCGATTCTCCACAGTCGGATATGACTGGCTCAGTTGCCGGCGTTTCTGGAATTTTGGATGTGAAGTTTGCATGTCCTTTTCTAACTTGCGCTAAATTTTTCTGCACAAAG